TCCCGGCGTCATAGCGCGCCGTCTCTGACGCGCGCTAATTACGCGTTCTGTTTGACGAAGCCTTTAGGTAGGAAAAAAAGCTAGTTTGTGTGATGTATCAAGTTCAAGCGTTAGATAGATACGAATTAAAATTGGGAATGCAAACAGTCGAGTTCGCGCTCGACCGGAATTCTTCGAATCGATTCGCGATGTAATCGTGAACGACGGATAGTCACGTTCGTAATATATTTTCGGGGTGTCGTAAAGACGTCTAATACGAAATCTTTTTTACTTATACCGATGTGTTACAAAGCAAAACGAACTCTTCACGTCAGAGACAAAGTTCATAGTTCGATAAATTTACGATTCCTATTTCTTTGTATTAATATCCAAATAGCTAGAATTTTTTAATGAGAATTTGATTTGCGCGACGCTTTTTGAGTTGTGATCGCGAAAAACAAAATCCCTCTATGCTTCCCAAAATCAAATCACCAAAGCAGTGAAACTAAGTGAAAGTTTATTTTCCACGTGTGTCAAATTTCGTGCACGACTGTACTGGTGGCACGAAGCGTGGAGGCATCAAAAATTAACCGGCACATCCTGTTTGTTTAATTCATTAAAACAACACGGAAGGGTTCAAGAAAAACCGTAATCCGAGGCGCGTTGTATCATTCGGGTTCATTAATTGCGCCATAAGTCGAGCCGGTTTTATCGCTCCAGTCGCCGCTGGCTTATGCAAATCGCCGCCGCCAAGTGTTTCTAACGTCCGCCATAACAGTTTAAGAACAACAATAAGTATATAAATGTTTCGGTTGTTTCCATCTTGATGTCGATAGTGGCTTTTTTGTATTCTGTGCAATTACAAATACCGTTGTATTTACGTGAACTTTAAAGCCAGCAATCAAGCTGCGTCTATCCTCCATCGTTCCAGGTGTCCAAATATGTGTCGCGATGGGGTGGGTAACGACTCAGTCAAGCGCCTTGTAGTGAAGGCATGATTGAGGGTACGAAACCGCGCGGCAGGTGACCGTTGACCTTTAGGATGAACCGACCAAATAAAGGCAGCTCTAAATGGTCCCGTCAACGAGTACACAAGAAGAATCATGTTACGGGAGGAATGGCGACGTCTTGTAAAGCGCACCACCACCCGAACTGAAGACTATGACCACTCTGCCAAGAGTGCAATTGACTTATAGGAAACATTTAATCAAAGTGATTACTGAAACGTGTTGGTATTTTATTAGCCGAATTAGAATATCGTCTATAGGAACAAAAACGTTCTAAGACTAAAAGCCCTTAGTGATATAATGTACAGAATTACAAACACCGCGAATTCCAACTAGAAAACTTTTTGTACATAAGCTGTGATATAGTATTTTAAGCCTCACAAAACCTTGTCATATATGAATGAGGCCATCAGAGCAAAAGCGGTCTAACTCACAATTTTTTTATATTCAAGCTTATACGACGTATATTGGAATTTATTTAAAATATAATAAATTTTGATGCAAAACCGGCCTATCCATAGTTTCACCAATAGATAACAGACAGCTTTGTAAGCATTATTTTTGCGTGTATTGTTTTTTTGCCTATTCAAATTCATGAAAATTCAAACCTAATTGCCTCCATACTAACTATGGTAAGCTTAGGCCATTTTTGTGCTGACGGCCTCATATTTACTAAAGGGAGCGCAGAGTCAATGTCAAATTAACATATAATAATATTACAAGACCTCTCTCCGCAGTATACACGAATTCTCGAACATAAACATTCAATATCATAAATAATTCGCTCAACAAAAAAACATCTAAATCAAACCCGGCAATTATATGAACTCAGTCAAGTCATGGTGCACACTCATAACAACATTTAACATGAAAAGCTGTTTTATTCGGTCTCGTAAAAACGTTTTTACGTCTCATTTTCATAAAGCAACGGCCACATAACTCGCGAAGGGTTGTAGGGGCTCCTCGCTTCTCACTTTTATGTTAATTTGAACCCTACGATCCTTGTATGTTAATGATGACCGAATATGAAGGGGCGATGTACGAGAATGAAAAAGTTCGAGGATCGAGTTTAAGTGGTTGTGTGTGTGTGTGTGTTTGTTTTTTTTCCTTAATTTTTAACGACGTTTTATTCTCTCGTAATTTGTGTATCGTCATCAGGAGGATATGTTATCACCGTTATCGTACGCAAAATATACACGGCTGTAATTGATTTAGCACGCTGATTGCGGGACCATATTTGTAAGTCTTTCAGCCAGTGCGTATTACTCATGCCCATAGAAATCTGGACATAGTCGCCTCTCATTTCGAGCGAAAGAACACGGGAATTACTGCCGCATATGGGCATATGGGGCTTATTAAACGTGTTAAATAGTGACCAATTAACGATTTGAAGTAGACGGGGCTCAAAGGAATGACGCTTAATGTATCCGTATCGTGTTTTTTTTTATTGCTTAGATGGGTGGACGAGCTCACAGTCCACCTGGTGTTAAGTGGTTACTGGAGCCCATAGACATCTACAACGTAAATGCGCCACCCACCTGGAGATTTGAGTTCTAAAGTCTCAGTATAGTTACAACGGCTGCCTCACCCTTCAAATCGAAACGCATTACTGCTTCACGGCAGAAATAAGCAGGGCGGTGGTACCTACCCGTGCGGACTCACAAAAGGTCCTACCACCAGTAATTACGCAAATTATAATTTTGAGGGTTTGATTTTTTATTACACGATGTTATTCCTTCGCCGTGGAAGTCAATCGTGAACATTTGTTAAGTACGTATTTCATTGGAAAAATTGGTAGCCGCCTGCGGGATTCGAACACCGTTGCATCGCTAGATACGAATGCACCGGATGTCTTATACTTTAGGCCACGACGACTTCAAAAGCTAAGCTGATATGTTCAAGTCCGATAAGCTTGTATCATTGGATTTGTTCTAATGAAATACGTTGTGTACGTATTTCATTGACCACCAATGACTTTAACAATTAAGAAATATCATCGTGTTATAAATATTAAAACTGCAAAAAATATAATTTTCTTAATTACTGCTTGTCTGTACGAATTAAAATCACACAAATAGGTACCACCGCCCTATCTATTTCTGCGACGAAACATTCACGAGTTTCATTTTGAAAGGATATTCTTTGTGCAAATAAAAATTAGAACTCATTTCGCAAGATGATTTCAATGGACTCGGAGTGCCATATAACCCCAGACAGTGAGCTAGTTTACTCGTCTGTGCACTAAAAAAATTTAAAAGAGGATGCATAAAGCATTATTCCTGTGATTCTTGTCTACTTTAAGCCTTCATTGTCCTATCGGTTGCCATGTTAGACAATTGTAATGAATATAATCTCCCTATTATTTCGCTATCAAAGTAAAAGGCATCGCTATGAGTAAGTTCCCCGTAATAGCAATATATTACTGCGACGAAACATTCACGTGTTTCATTTTGAAAGGATATTCTGTGTGCAAATAAGACTTAGAACTCATTTCTCAAGGTAACTTTAATGGACTCCCTGTGCCATATAACCCCAGACAGTGAGCTAGTCCACTAGTCTGTACACTAAAAAAATTGAAAAGAGGATGCATAAAGCATTATTCCTGTGATTCTTGTTTATTTTAAGCCTTCATTGTCCTATCGGTTACCATGTTAAGACGATTCTAATGAGTATAATCTCCCTATTATTTCGCTATCAAATTAAAAGACATCGCTATGAGTGACTTCCCCGTAATAGCAATATCAAACTTTATTTTATCATATCTAACTTTCCTTCGCCTACACTCCATCTTGTAATGATCGGTGGGGTATATTTATTGCACGTTTTTTCACAATCTGCGATCTTGCTGCCCGAATCAGCTAGTAATATACATTTGGAATTAACTTGTTTAATCAATTACCATGAATCCATATAATTGCGAATACTACGAGAAAAGTCTCTGTTTATGCTAATGTGTAGTTTGTTCGTTTTCATTACAAGGTGATCACGAAAATTAAATGATTATTGTAAATAAAAATATATTATTTACATATATATGTCGGAGCATCAGTGGAAATAGCTGTGATATATTAGTTTGGAAACGTCAGGTTAATTACTTGGGTGGAATCGGAGATGGCGCTGCGATCGTAATTGTTTATGGGTAGACTTGTTATGGACTCGTTCAATAGACAATGACGTATGCCAAGTGTCAGTGAATCTGTAGATGACGTGTGACATTTGAAGAGTTAGTCTATGACGGTGGGATTACTAGACAGTCATTTTAGAGAGGAGGCATTCTCTTTGGAGGCACCATTGCGGTCGCACGCATCTCTGAGATCACCGAGTTTCTAGTCTACTATTATTTAATTGTATTCTTATTTAGAGTCTAACCTACAAATGACTGGCCACGAGGACACAGGTGATAATCGGAAAGAGCTTAACGCGACATATACATATAAAATTATTAATTAATTATTGTAGAAAATAAAATAGACAGATCATACGCCGTCGAAGTTTGCATTTTTCAAATTAATTACGTTTTTTTATTAATTAAAATCGTAAAGAAATCCAATGACAGTAGACTCGTTATCCCACAGAATAAATTTGTATACATGAATATAAAGGCGACAATGCTGTTTTCTATGGAATCGCGTCCAACTGTAGGTAATTACAATGACCTTAATGCGTATCGCTATTATTTTTGATGTAGTTACTTCGTCAGTTCGTTTTTACAATTTTATTACTTTCAGAACTTAAAACGTATTTTAGCTTAACTAACATGCGAGACCCATAAGATGTTTGTGAAGATACATTGTACCGTTGATAACCGAGTATTTGAGGGTTCAAGTCAAGAATTCGTTTCTACGAATTCAGTTTCAAAAAGAACTTTACATTTATTACGGTAAAGCTGATTTTAGAAAACGGTACTTTCGACGTTACGGTTTTGATTGCGAGATTCCGATCTGATGATAGATTCTGCGAAGCACTGCTCTTGCCAGGGCTAGTGTGAGCAAATTCTATCAGGTTGAGCCTGTGAGCTCACCTACCCGCGCCTAGCTGGAATAGCCTCTTAGGGTAGCAGCGTACAGGTTTGCGAAAGATTGCTAAGTTAGAGTGAATAAAACTGAAATATAACTTACCGGCGGCGTCGACTTGACAATTGAGGAAGAGAAGGCAGGCAAACAGTAGAGCGACCGTGCGATATTGCGCCTGACGTCGCTCTCGCATCTTACCGGCGCCGGGCCGCGCCTGCGCCAAACACCACGTGAAAACACGTACCCTTGTCAGCAAGCATCACCGCGCGACCTGCGCGGGACCTTCCCTCCACCAAATCGAACTTAACATTACTTACGATACAGCTTACACACTATGCACATCACAACCGAGTTTTGCCACTTAATTATGATTACATTAATAATTTATTTATCACAAAAATACGACAACCGCTTCGATGATTAAAAATTTTTTTTTTTTTAATTTATCCTACGAGTAAACACGTAGACAACGATGAAAATTTTTGAAACCTATATCTAAAATATATGTACAACAATTAAGTAGGATCGTTTCGTTGGTTCGATAGAGGATTTCAAGCGAGGAATAAATTATGCGACAGCATTTTAGGAAGCACAGTCTTCGAGTCGCTGTGGACGAATTTCAACCATATTCCATTGTTATATGCTCCTGTTTTGTTACTCTCAACTGCACTTTTTTTGGGACACACTGCACTCTAACGTTCGCCTTTCACAATCGACACTATATATTTCTTCAATCAAACACATTTTTTATTGTTTGGTGCTGAAATCATATGCTTCGCTCCCCTGGTTTCGCATCTGTGAAATAAAATGAAGTTGGTACGTGACCATGACTGATCTCCGTTGTGAGACCAAACAAAAGAACGGAAAAGGAATGCGCATTTCTGATATATATTTCAGATATTTAATGACATACATGTTTTTGAAGTGAAACTTCCTTATCGGCGTTGGAAAAAAATTTACCGTCACATTTTTCGGTTACGCGTCACTTTTTTCCGTTACGCGCCATCTGTTTTGTATTCATGTCTATGATAATAAAATCCTTTTGTTTAAACTTTATCTAATTTAACTTTTTTGTATTCATGTCTATGATAATAAAATCCTTTTGTTTAAACTTTATCTAATTTAACTTTATTTAACCAATTTCTAGAAAGTTGCATGTAGATCATTTTTCGAAAAATAAGGCCATAAAGAAGTTTCACTTCTTACGTGTGTACACTAGTACACGCACACATTTTTTTTCTACATGTCTGTGCTTGTATAATAATCCTAAAAAGAGTGATGAGCACGAAGCGGTGTGCATTTAGGAGTGGGGTGGGAGTGAAGACAGAACAGATGCAAAGGCAAGAAACAGATGAATGAGCGAAATCCGTTGAACTAGATTTTAATTTCAAATTGCAAAATTATTTATGGGAAATTGCTTAAAAGCGTACCAAAGAGGAATCTTCGATAACGGAAGGTGAATTGCCAGTACTATGAGTTTATTTGCAACATCTTATTGCATTATTAAAATAAAATGATATTATTTCGCAAAACATTGGGATCCGCTTCGTTTTGTTTCCACAAAATAAGTTTTGGAACACACAAATTCCAGTTTCAAAATTAGATTCCTTTCAAATATATCTAAAGAATTCGGTATGGAAGAATACAGTTGAATGTAATATCGCCGACGGAGACAGATATAGCGAACTAAATTTAGAATAGTAAGGTCGAGAGGTGCCGTGCAGCAGTTTGCACAACTTATAACTTCAATAAGGCCGGACCAGGTGTGACCGTTGATGCTCCGAATAAAGCCATTTGCATGAACCGACTCGAATCGGTTTGCGGACGTAATATTTACTGCTTTCGGCTCATTCTTTATTTGCTAAATTCTTGATCATTAACTTTGTTATTTGAAAAACATTTTAGAACGTTTAAAATTGAACAAAAAAACATGTGATATATTTTAAATGAAGTCAATAGGTGTTCACAACACTACTGAGATATGTTTCAAAGTTTTTAAACATGAGTAACAGGGATACGAACTGTGTCAATACTAACTTCCTACTCTAAAATATCTTGCTCGGAATACCGGAATATATACATACATATCCATAAACGAGATCCTAAATATGAAATAATTTATATTTATCAGGTTTTTAATGATATGATGCTTGCTTTGCAATAGTAATTACAAGATCCTTAAAAAAAGAATTGAAATAGTTAATAGAAGTCTGAGTTTAAACGTAGCGAAACTCTTAAATAATACGCATTTTCGCTAAAAGCCATAGCCTCTCTTGACGTTTAAGAATTTAAAGCTTACTCAGCGTCGGTCTTCAGCTAATGTTTAACTCCTGTCAAATTTAACTATCTTAAAGTTTTGCTGCTTAAACGACAGCCACTCAAAGTAAATTTCGAATAATTTTATGGCGCGAAAGTGTGGCGGCCATTTTGGAATTCAGCTTGAAGGAAACTTACGGAAAATGTTGTTAAATTTTTCTCAATGCAAATTTCACTACATGGAATAGATTTTCAGAATAAGGTACCATGTAAGATAATCTATACATGTTTTCTTATAAATTACAAACAATCATGCCTGAATTACAAATTTATCGACAATGCTGCAAAAATGCCCTTTGCATTCACCGATTCAAGATTTTGGAACTAAGTATTTTTATGTATATCAAACTAAGCCAAAATTAAAATAATGAAACACACATAGGCACAAGCTTAGAAAGATCTTGAGGCAGTACCATAATCATTTATCACGCCAAAACTCGGAAACGGTTAATCAAATTTCAATCTTAATTAACTCACTAACGATTCTTAGTCGCAAACTCCGGCTGCGACATCCGGCGGATTCTATTTCCAACTTTTAGCTGGTATTGTGACGGGTGTTAATGTTTATTGCAAACGGTCGTTGAGTGCGACAGCATTAACAGCTTCATATAAATATATAAAAATGAATTGCTGTTCGTTAGTCTCACTAAAACTCGAGAACGGCTGGACGCCGATTTGGCTAATTTTGTTCTTGAATTATTCGTGGAAGTCCAGAGAAGGTTTAAAAGGTGAATAAATATGAAAATGCTAAACAATTTTGTTATTTATATATATTTTGAATATATATATAAAAATGAATTGCTGTTCGTTAGTCTCTCTAAAACTCGGGAACGGCTGGACCGATTTGGCTGATTTTGGTTTTGAATTACTTATGGAAATCCAGAGAAAGTTTAATAGGTAGATACATATGAAAATGCTCGGAATTATATAAAAACAAACAATTTTGTTTTTCCTTTGATGTGTCCCCCGTCGGACGGATTCGTTTTGTTTGTTTTAAGTTTATTTTATACAAAAGTTTAGGTCTTTTATTTATCGACTGACGCACTACGAAGTCTGCCGGGTCAGTTAGTATAAATATAAAACACTCGATTTAGAATCATTCGTGGATTGATTTCAGACAGATGATCGTGAATACTAGTTTAGTATGATTTAGTTTAATTCAAACTATTTTTTTTTAATGTCCCCCATTGGGTATCAAAATTCAGAACGCAAGATTTTTGGATCTGTGTGGCCTAATAATCAAGGTATTCGATACTCGGCCTACTCATATAAATATGCTGATATAATACTCAAGGAGCGTATCTATTTTCCGGAGAAGCACTTTACGACACCGGGAAGAGATGGTTTTTTTTTATTGCCTTTGTAGGCAGACGAGCATACCGCCCACCTGATGGTGATGGTTACCATCGCCCATGGACTTCAGCAATGCCAGGGGCAGAGCCAAGCCGCTGCCTACATACATTTTTACCAATAGCTCTTGCAAATGGACTAGTTGACAAATGGCTGAATCTCGCTAATACAAAATCCCATTTAAGAAAATTGATTTTTGTTCGTACATAGGAATCCTTATTTACTAATACTCTCCACAAGCCTCGTTTGAAGAAAGACATGTCGGACATGTGAAGGACGTGTGATGATTTTCTAATCTACGACACCACAACACGAATCACTATGAAAATTTGTTAAATACAGCGTAATATAACCTAATTACGTATGTAGATTGGCTATTTAGTGACGTTATAAACGACAAACTACACAAGCCATCGTTTATAGCCACTACTACGAGTGTATCTATCGTTATAAACTGTCATTAAACACCGCTTAAATCGCAGTCAAATCATTTAATAGTGCTAATCGCATGACTTACTCTGTTACTGTCATTTCAGGGTATGACGTAATTAGGGAACAGCATCCTATTTTATGTGTGTCTACATAATTTAATAAGTAATAATGGGCGCTGGTCTTTTTCTACATGGACATCTACAGCGTAAATGCGCCACCCGTCTTGAGTTATAAGTTCTAAGGTCTCAGTATAGTTACAACGGCTGCCCCACCCTTCAAACCGACACGCATTACTGCTTCACGGCAGAAATTGTATTACTTCATCTACATTACTCTAAGTTTGTTTTTTAAATAAAGGATTATTGGTTGCTCGGAGTTCTTTTCAGTTTCACCAGGACAGGTGAGCGAGCAAAGGTTCAGCCAGGAGGGAACGGACTTGCTAACAACTGCCCGAGCGCCTCCAAAGGAGACCTAACAACTCAAGGGCAGCTGCTGCGCGAATGAATCTACTACCGGATCTGGATCGCGACCCGCTGAGAAGATTCGGCGAGAAACTCAGCGAGCTGACGTATGGTTTAGGTTGTACGTCGAACTGACTAATAAATAAATTCTGAATATTCTTGTCGCCGGATTTTTTTTTTAATTTGTGACTAATTCATTACCTAAACTTGGTAAACTTGGTAATTATACGAGAAAAATTTACGAATTTCGGAATCTATGAATACATCATTATTATTTTATCTTCCGTTTAACCAATTATACAATTTAATAATAAACTTAACGCTGTTACAGAATTATAAAAAAAAAAAAACATTATTTAAATTGGAAGCAACTTAAATGCAATGAAATCGGTAATCTTGACGGCATTATACCTTATTAGCTTTTCCGCCGCCGATAATAATTTTACTGAGCATCAAATTTTCGAAAATTCAAATATACGATGTCGACCTAAGCCCGCCAATACATGCGCTGATCCCGGTGACGTCATCGTACAAATTAACGATATTTTCGCGTATTTGTCGAGCCGCGATAATGCCGCCGGTGACGAGACGGATTAGCGGCACAGTTGACGGCATAGCTCGTTTGTTTTGCTCAACGGAATCCCGTCACTAACAT